TCTTCTTCTTCTTCTTCTTCTTCTTCTTCTTCTTCTTCCTCTTCTTCTTCTTCTTTTTCTTCTTCTTCTTCAGCATTCCGAGCCCATGAGATTCATTGTTGCAGATATCACCTACCGCCATTCATCTCTGTGATTTGCCTAAACCGCTTACACATACGAACTGATCACACCATACAACTGCCCACAATAGACTCTGATACTCCCCTACGCTATGCTATACTCCCCATTTCTGTGAAATAGACTTGTCCATATTTTAGTTTTCTATACAAGAAGTATAGAATAATGCATCCAGTTGCAAAGTCAGACACATATACACACACACACACACACACACATACACACACACACACACACACAAACATATATATATATATATATATATATATATATATATATATATATATATATATAATTTATTTTAAAAGGTACTGCTATAGACCACGAAGTATCTATCAGAGAAGTATTGAAAATATGATGACTAAGAGGGTGCCCGTAATGTGTACAGACAGAAACAAAGTCCTGTTTATAATATAATATAATGTAATGTAATATAATATAATATAATATAATATAATATAATATAATATAATATAATATAATATAATATAATATAATATAATATAATATAATATAATATAATATAATATAATATAATATAATATAATATAATATAATATAATAAATATAATATAATATAATATAATATATTATAATATAATATAATATAATATAATATAATATAATATAATATAATATAATATAATATAATATAATATAATATAATATAATATAATATAATATAATATAATATAATATAATATAATATAATATAATATAATATAATATAACATAACATAACATAGAAATGAAACTGTTGTCAGATATACTGGGTGTTGTAGTTACACAAATGAAACTGTTGTCAGATATACTGTGTCAGATAAACTTGGGTATTGTGGTTACACAAATGAATCTGTTGTCAGATATACTAGGGTATTGTGGTTACGCAAATTAATCGTTGTCAGATTTACTGTGTGTTGTGGTTACACAAATGAAATTGTTGTCAGATATACTTGGGTATTGTGGTTACACAAATAAATCTGTTGTCAGATAAACTGGGTGTTGTGGTTACACAAATGAAACTGTTGTCAGATATACTGGGTGTGTTGTTCACGCAAATGAAATTGTTGTCAGATATACTGGTTTTGTGGTTACACGAATGAAACTGTTGTCAGATATACTGGGTGTGGTGTTCACGCAAATGAAATTGTTGTCAGATATACTGGGTGTGGTGTTCACGCAAATGAAATTGTTGTCAGATATACTGGGTGTGGTGTTTAGGAAAATGAAACTGTTGTCAGATATACCGGGTGTTGTGGTTACACAAATGAAACTGCTGTCAGATATACCGGGTGTTGTGGTTACTCAAATGATATACCGTTTTTTCTACTCTTATAACAGTAATACAACTTTGTTGACTGGTGTAATACACCGTTATAGTCACTGGTATAACAGCAATACAACTTTCCTGACTGATGCAATAAAGCGTTAATTTATTACTTGTAATACCACTTTGTTGTACTGATGTAAGACAGCTTTATTGTTACTGATGTAATAGAAACACAGTTTGCTAGTGACTGCTATTTATGTTATGGCAATATAGCATTGTTATTACAAATGTAATACAATGATGTAAAACAAGGTTATCCTGTTGATGTAAAACCACCTATGTAAAACAAATTTCTCCTGCTGATGAAATACCACTTTTGTAAAACAACCTTGCTCCAATTGATGTAATACCGTTTATGTAAAACAAAGTTCTCCTATTGATGAAATACCAGTTATGTAAAACAACGTTGGCTAATATGGATGTAAAACCATTTATGTAAAACAATGTTGCTAATATTGATGCAACACCACTTGTGTAAAACAATCTTGCTGCTATTGATGTAATACCATTTATGTAAAAAAAAAAAGCTTGATCTATTGATGTAATACCACTTATGTAAAATAAAGTTCTCGTACCGATGTAATACCACCAATGTAAAACAACGTTCTCGTACCGATGTAATACCACTAATGTAAAACAAAGTTCTCGTACCGATGTAATACCACTAATGTAAAACAAAGTTCTCGTACCGATGTAATACCACTAATGTAAAACAAAGTTCTCGTACCGATGTAATACCACTAATGTAATACAAAGCTGCTACTTTTCATGTGAAATTGTCTTTTTATTGCTGATGTAATGCCGCATTACGGATACGTAGAATGCATCATGGACAGATCGGCACATCGAACAACTGTTGGGAAATTGTCAAATATAGGCAGATATCGCGTCTCTGTAGATTGGGACAGTAAGCTAGAATACTGACAGCTGTGTGCGCCAACATTGTAAACCAGTGATTCTCAAACTGTGCGCCCCGGGAAGCCGGGACCTCTTGACAGGTGCGCCGCGAAGTATTCGAAGATACACGAGTTGTGTTTTTTTTTTTTTTAATCATAGGTTAGGGCGGCGTGGAAAAATGTTAGTTGAAAAATGGCGCCGCGTCTAAAAAAAAAAATTCAGAAAACACTTCTGTAAACTGTGCGCTGATAAGAGAAAAGCAATCTCACCTGAATGAAGACAAAACTGTTTGGTACCCGATGAGATGATGACTGCACGATAGCTTTTATCAAGGTTTCCGCTTCCTGGTAAACATTGTGAAGAAGACAGCTATGGAGGACAAATACTAGGGCAAAGGAATTTTTTTTTTTTAAATATAACACTCTTCTTCCCCGTGTGGGTTCCGGGACCCTATTATAGGAAAACAAGAATAGTCAATATGCCTATCCAAGTCGTAAGAGTCGACTAATTGTGGCCTTCCTTCGAAATCGGAATGCATCTGTCTGAGAAGCAGGGAACCAGCAGCCTGTATATAAATGAGTCAGATTTGTAAAACGGATGCACACGCAAACCTCAGGTTCTGGAACAGGTCTGAAGTCTACAAGTGGACGAACAACCAGAACTTTCCACCAGATTGAACAGCTGGTGAACGCAAAGAAAAAGAAGATAACAAACTCTGACATGACATGACAATCAAAAACATTAGATTGTTGTTTATAGAGAGATGACAAGTATTCATGAGAACGCTGTTGAACACTCTAGTCGCAGTTTGTGCTGCACTTGATTCTTTAGTTACAATATGGTTTATCGAATGCTACATTTTGCATAAAAGAAACCGGACACGACAACAAATATCAACAAACCCCTGATGTCAGTCACGCCGTTGTTGACGCCTGTATACTTTCTCCTCCTTGAGCTTCTGCGGCGATTTTCGATCTGATCAGTGAAAGACGTTTGCTTGGTCTTAAATACGAAATCTTGTAGCAAAATTTAGAACCTAAACTAAAACACCTGCCTATCGACCGTCTGTTTTCTTTCTGCAAGTTTATTCGCCCACTGGAACCGTACTTTTCTGTCTTTCATTTCTAGAAGTGTCTGGTGACGTGTTATCGTGTGTCTGTTTTAACCTCTGACTCTTGCTGTCCTCACCAACGCACCGTGTGTGACCACCTATTGTCTGTCCCTACCAAGTGGTATAGGGTGTGTTATTCTAATGTATGTAAGTGTAGATAGCAAATATTGAAAGATAGTTTTTTTTTTTAAAAAGAAATTGATAATTTACCTCGTCTTCAGGCGTATTGGGCATATAGGACTAAATATATATTTTAAAACCAATCAGCACTTAGTATGTTATGCTATCAACATCGCGCCGGCCACCTTTACTTCCCATGCAATTACCTGGTACCCATTTAAAGCCACTGTCATTATTGAAGGAAGAAAAAAAGTCCGGCTACCTCAGGGCCTAAACAAACGATCTTCGTATACGCAGGCTATCGTCTAGCCTCTATACCATGGCGGTGAGTTAAAAAGTTAGGCAGCTACTAAACTCTCTTTGAAATTGTCCACATAACTGCACAAGACATAACGTTTATGGGCACATTATCGTATTCTGACGTTGATTTCTGTGAGACAGTTATCATTGTAGCACCAGGTGGGAAACAGTGAAACTAGATGTTCGGAAGTAAATCATGGACATTCATACAATCAGTGAAAAATTATGTGAAAACTGCAGCCATGTGACTTACGAGACGAATGATGGGAACATCCTGATCAGAAATAACGTGTGGTGAAGATATTTGGCCAGACAACTCAAATGAGAGATCAGCTGACCCACAATCAGAAGATGACCCGCAATCAGGAGATGACCCGCAATCAGGAGATGACCCGCAATCAGAAGGAGATGACCCGCAATCAGAAGGAGATGACCCGCAATCAGAAGGAGATGACCCACAATCAGAAGATGACCCGCAATCAGGAGATGACCCGCAATCAGAAGGAGATGACCCGCAATCAGGAGATGACCCGCAATCAGAAGGAGATGACCCGCAATCAGAAGGAGATGACCCGCAATCAGAAGGAGATGACCCGCAATCAGAAGGAGATGACCCGCAATCAGAAGATGACCCACAATCAGAAGATGACCCGCAATCAGAAGATGACCCACAATCAGAAGATGACCCACAATCAGAAGATGACCCGCAATCAGAAGATGACCCACAATCAGAAGATGACCTACAATCAGAAGATGACCCACAATCAGAAGATGACCCACAATCAGAAGATGACCCACAATCAGAAGGAGATGACCCACAATCAGAAGATGACCCACAATCAGGAGATGACCCGCAATCAGAAGATGACCCACAATCAGAAGATGACCTACAATCAGAAGATGACCTACAATCAGAAGATGACCCACAATCAGGAGATGACCCACAATCAGAAGATGACCCACAATCAGAAGGAGATGACCCACAATCAGAACATGACCCGCAATCAGAAGGAGATGACGCGCAATCAGAAGGAGATGACGCGCAATCAGGAGATGACCCGCAATCAGAAGATGACCCACAATCAGAAGGAGATGGTCTACAATCAGGAGATGACCCACAATCAGAAGGAGATGGTCTACAATCAGAAGATGACCCACAATCAGAAGGAGATGGTCTACAATCAGAAGATGACCCACAATCAGAAGGAGATGGTCTACAATCAGGAGATGACCCACAATCAGAAGGAGATGGTCTACAATCAGAAGATGACCCACAATCAGAAGGAGATGGTCTACAATCAGGAGATGACCCACAATCAGAAGGAGATGGTCTACAATCAGGAGATGACCCACAATCAGAAGGAGATGGTCTACAATCAGGAGATGACCCACAATCAGAAGGAGATGGTCTACAATCAGGAGATGACCCACAATCAGAAGGAGATGGTCTACAATCAGGAGATGACCCACAATCAGAAGGAGATGGTCTACAATCAGGAGATGACCCACAATCAGAAGGAGATGGTCTACAATCAGGAGATGACCCACAATCAGAAGGAGATGGTCTACAATCAGGAGATGACCCACAATCAGAAGGAGATGGTCTACAATCATTAGTCACAGAAACAGTAAGTAGATAAGTTGTACCCCACCAGGACATTACATTGAGCGATAAACACCCTGTGACATAAAGTGCCACCACGCGGATGAGGATCACCCGTGGAGAAGTCCCGGAAACCGCGTTCAACCGTTAGGTTATATTGCGGCCCCTGGCAACAGTCATAGCGGGGCTTCAAAATTACGAAAACTTGAGCCTCATAATGGGGATGACAAAGAAATAATACACAGAAACACTGGAATATAGGGTGACAGTGGGAGGGCGGAGAGAATGATAGATAAGGGAGACAAACAAAGAAGACGCTAAACAGCCTAACATCATAGCTTGTAGGATCATGTATAAACAAAATTATTCAAGGGCTGGTCGAAGATACGGAGGTAGATACAAGGCATTTTGTTTTTCTAATCATCATTTCGTCAGCACTACCTTAATAGACCTTTGTGGTGAGTACCGGCCCCTGCTTAAGACAGTTGTGAGTAACGGCCACTTTTCTTTTCCTAGGGTTAAAAAAAAAGGGAGGTGCATGACTGACTGACTGACTTTCTACCCCACTAGGACATGACACAAGCGATAAACACCCGATGACACAAAGTGCCACCATGTGGATGAGGATCGCCGTGGAGAGGTCCCAGAAACCGCGTTCAGACATTTGGCCATATTTATGGCCTATATTGCGGCCCCTGGAAAAAGCCAGGGTGGGGCTTCAAATAACCACAAATTTCATCCTAAAAAAGGACTAAACTGGATTTGAGTAATGTAAGAGGTGCATTGTATAAAATATCGGGTATAGTATTGTATGTGTTTGCTATTCAGTGTATTCATTTTACTACTGTGTTGAATGTCGGTCTTGCGAGTCCTACTGGTAATTCCAGTTGCTTGCGTGGATTTGTATCATGGTCGACCCAGTCTTGAATGGGTACCGGGATGTGTGTCCTGGAGAAATAAAGACGGCCGGAGTAATGTACAGTACATTACCCACCTACTGTCGATTGGTCTGTAAAAATATGGCTGTTCTTCCCATGTACGCCTAAGGCGTAAAAAGGATTACTTTACTTTAAAGTGCTGACTGTCAGATAAAACAATAATAATTTACTTCAAACACGGGACTGGTCACCAAGAAGCTTCCGTACCTGGGGAGGCGGGGGGTCTATCACGACAAGAACATTTCACCGACGCACCGTTGTCGTGAAATACGCTGTTACTTTAGTTGGTTGATCTGTTCTAGCGCGATTTTAATAGGGATACGTTTTTGACAAGTAGTATCCGAAAAGTCAACAGCTCCGTATACTATATTTACATTATAACACTCAAGGAGCCACGAAAGCACAAGAACTGACAACAAAGCATTCGGGGCATTCCGATATGCACTGCGTCCCCATCTTCAGCAGCCAGTGCAGATTTCCAATACTAATGGTACCAGTCGTAGTCTGGTTACATGTTCGTCTTGCCTTTCCCCTGAGCGTAGTGTGCCGTTCAGGCCCTCTGGTCACACCCAGGTGCATCATTCTCTCTACGCCATAATAATCTTGTTTCTCTTCTGACTTCGTTACTTGTTCCCAACGGGCTTGAACCCATCTGCCTTAGCATGTATCAATTCCCCACCCAGTGGAGCAGATCCAGCACAGTTAGACTCCTATCTGCCAACGCGAAGGACTGTGGTTCATCTCTACACTGGGCAGAATTGTATAACTGATATAGAGTTCAAATTTTTTGTTTTGTTTTAAACAGGTAACCGTCCCCATGCATGCCTTTGGTCATCATCATCCTCATCATCATAAAGCACTTCTGCCGTTAAGCGCTGTGGGGAGGAATAATTTGCGATCCAGTGCACGCTGGCTGCCACTGGCTATTGTCATGCCATGAAGGTGTAGAGTGACTTAAATGGTGTTGATTCATGCTCTTGTAGCTTTAGCTGATCTTCTGAGATGTAGTGCTTGTGGTGTTATTTGATCTTGCTGCATTCTAACCAGATGGCCAAACCACTTGATCTTGATAGTTTCATTATTCACTCAATCTCAGATGGTTAGGTTGCTGGCTTTTCTCAGGCACCTCATCTCGCAGGTAGTGATTGTTGCGTATATGGGCTTTAAATAGTGTCCATGTTTGGCACTGGTAGAAGGGGATATTTACTTACTTTACTTTAATGTGGTGAATAGCAGATAAATATAATAATATACTTGAAACATAGGACTGGTCACCTAGAAGCTTACCCACCTGCGGTGGTCAATAACAATGCCTTTGGTGCATTGGGCAAATGAGGATAGACTCGTATTTCTATACATCAGATCGAAGGGTGATGTGCTCAATATCACAGCGGTAACTTTTACTTCCCAGACGTCACTTTCTACCCATGTAAGAGCGAGAGTCTAGCCGCTACATCAGGGCGACCTGAAATTGGTTTTTGGAAAAGTAAAGATGGCAGGCATGCTGTTAACCCCATGACCCGCAAAATGGCCTGACCCGCACGTGACGTATCCAACGGCAGCTTACATTTTCCATTGAAAATTATTTAACTATTTATTAATACTGTTTCGTACTGATTACAATGTGACATGTCTGTCCAAGAACACAGTCAAGATCAAAACATGTTCTTGTATTTAAAACAGATGTGAGTCGTGGACTATCTCCCAGTCCTTAAGTCAGAGAATAGGGGCTTTTGAGCTGAAATGCAATAGAAAGATTCTCAGAATTCCATGGGCAAAGAAGAGAAGAAATACAGACATTTTAAAAGATCTGAACATAAAGGAACTATTTCCTGTCAATTTGTGTTGTTGGTAATCACATTATGCATTGTCTTTTACCACTGATGTTTTTCATTTAACACCTCATCACATAGCTGCTTTTGTTAGCCCATCAACACATGTCACCAACATCAATGAGCGGCCGCCCCACCCCCTGTCGCCCCCATATCCTTTTCTGTCTTCTCCTCTCCCTACAAACAAAGATGCTTGGTGACATGGAGTCTAATAAAAACATCATTGCCACTTTAAATAAATGCATGTACATTATCATTGAAACGTACCGTGCCCACTGACAAACGAATAGCCCCTGCTTTCCTCAATACCCCCATTCATTTCTGCCTCCCCCTGTCTCTACTCTCTTTTCAAAGTCAGTGGAAAACGGTACGACTCATCATCATTTTATTCACATCATCTTATTGATTTTGCTTTTGTTTCAAAAGAGATTTGTACAATATGTTTCAACAATAAACACTTTTTAAAAAAAAAAAAAAAAAAAAAAAACCTACATACCACATCAGTGGTTCACTTTATCTAGTGAGGGATTGATAAACATGCAAACCCATAATAAATTTTAAAAAATAAAAAAAATAAAGGAAGATTGGCTGATAAACAGCATCTTGAAAGATCTGAACATGAAAGAATATTGGCTGATAAACGGCATCTTGTCTCGGAAGCTGAAATATTTTGGTCATGCCAAGCACATCTGATTGATAAAATGAAAGCAAAAGGCGAGGTACCACGAAGGAAATGCAGGGGTCGACCACTACGAAGATGGGTACAGGATATATTTGACTCCTTGAATACGAAAGTGCAAAAGGCGAGAGTGCTGGCGAGAGACCGAAGTTCTTTCACGCAGACCGTGAGGATGTTGATGATGATGATGGTGGTGATGATTTATTACCAATACGCAATTTGGTTTACATCTCGAAGATAGCGAAAAGACAGCTCTTTATATGCTTACGGCACTCGTGCAGAAACTGTAACTAGTGAAAGCTACCAGTTACTAGTACTACAAGCTTCGCAAGAATAATCTCAGCAGCAAAGCGACGATGATCCTCTCTCTAGTGTAATCTTTACCAGCTAACGCTTCCACGCGACCCGTCATTGACCCACTGAGTACTAACTGGTATGTCTCAAGGCCTCGAGTGCTGAAGGTCCCGGGTCGGGCCCCCGTGAAGCCTGGGATCTTTTTTCACTTGGACTTCTAGTAATTTCCTCTGCTCTCTTGGTAGATCAGACGCCCGTGTGTACTGTTGCGCACGTAAGAACGAATCCCCTGGCAGTTGGAAATCAAAAAGAAAAGCCTAACGGCGCTGCCGGGAAAAATTAGGAATTAAAAATCTACCCAAAGTATTTCAGGATCCTCGCAGGTGCTACGAAGCTCGTTCACTGCGCTGAGATTCTTTGGACTCAGGCTTGAGTTAGAAGTAGAACGGAGCACTTATGGGTTACTACCCTAGTGCCATGATGTTGATCTCTTGTTTAAACCTACACCGAAATAAATATTATGGGTAAAGCGTCAAATACTAGAGTGTCGTTGGCTCCGGGTCTTAACTTACATCTCACTTTTGGAACCGTTTTCTAGCAGCAATGGTAGAGCTGTATGCCTGTAGTACACGACCTTTGTCTTCAGACTTCAGGATACCCGAGCCTCGCAATGACCGCGTCGTTGGCGGTTAATTTTTACGTCCACAATTACAGGTGTCCGATTGAAGCCCGCCCTCTGACAGCCGGACGCCTGCTCCAAGCTTCAGCCAGCCACGCACAAGGGCTCGCCTTTCTGTGGCGGTTTGGGTCCGACTGAGCTGTAAACAGTTCCCTGAAATCAGATAAGAGCTATTCTAGAAGGTTCGTCAGACACCTGAATAATAAAAGCATACCAGTTCGTAGGCGTAGATGGAAAGGGAGAAATAAAATATCCAGCCGATGATTTGGGAAATTGGAATTTTGGATGTAAGAATAAATGATACACTGGGGTGTTCATTTCTATTGTTCAGCACTGCGCCGGATAAGGCGTAGGTTGCTAAATTTACATTTTTATACCCCACTGGTCGTCAGTGGGTGACGTCTATATCATACCTGCCGCCTTTACTTCCTGTGATATTTCCTGACAACCGTTTTCAGTGAGGTTGATCTGGTAGGCAAGGTTCATAATAAATATAGTGGTGCCTCGGTAAGCGTCTGCTTTGGTATCCGTCCCTCCTGGTATCTATCTAGCTGTCTGTCTGTCTGTCGATATTTGTTTGCAAGCACAGGCACCACTTTAATTCCATGCGGATGGACTAATGTCATCCCCACAACCCAACCCCGGTTACGCCCTATAGGCCAACCCCTCCCTCCCTCCTTAGACACTCAGTGTACGCTGTTGGCGTCAAACCCGTCTCTTTTTTTTTCCCCTACCTGCGCGTTGGAGGTATATAGACTGACCGTAATTTCATTGAACGAAGTTTTTTCGCCAGGGACACTAGATGAGTATCATTTATTCTATACATTAGAGTCCTATGTAATCACTTCATACTTAGAGCCTATTTGTGTATGTGTACTGTGTTGTCCTTTATGTGCTGATGAAGGCTAATCGCCGCAACGTCCTTTGTTTATTGTGATCGATTTTGTAAAGCTAACATAAACTAATTGTTGTTTCTTACCAACTTTTTCTCTTCCCTATAATTTTCTACTCCTTATAAAAACTCTTTGCAGGAGAACAGTTTCGCTTGTTTAGACTCGCCCTCTACAGCTTGTGGGAAGTCGCCGAGGCGTAGCGGATAGACGCTCGTGAAAGGATCTGAAAGTCGTGGGGTCGATCCCTGGCGAAGCTGGACTTTTTTCAAAAACGACCTTGACTCCCAGATCGACCCAGCCGTGAGTGGGTAGTCCTGGGAAGTAAAGGCGGCCGGCGTGATGCTGACCACATCACCCATCCTGTGCCGATTAGTCCTTAAAAATGTAGGTCTAGCCCTATATGCCTAAAGGCGCTGAAAAGGGACCTCTACAGCTTGTATAAATTAAGATTAGTCTCTACACCCTGTGTTTTCCTTTCTCAATAATCAAAAGAAGCCAGCTTTAAAGCAGTCGGCTCAGAAAACTAGGAACTTTACTTTCCAGAGGAAGATTTAGATCCACACACAATAAACGAGATACTATTTCCTTTTTTTAAGTCTAGGTATTGTGATGGCTTCTCGCCATACTTCAGGCAGCAGTCCTTTTTTTAAGTCCGGGTATTGTGATGGCTTCTCGTCATACTTGAGACAGCAGTCCTTTTTCAAGTCCGGGTATTGTGATGGCTTCTCGTCATATTTGAGACAGCAGTCCTTTTTCAAGTCCGGGTATTGTGATGGCTTCTCGTCATACTTGAGGCAGCAGTCCTTTTTCAAGTCCGGGTATTGTGATGGCTTCTCGTCATACTTGAGGCACCAGTCCTTTTTCAAGTCTGGATATTGTGATGGTTTCTCGTCATATTTGAGGCACCAGTCCTTTTTCAAGTCTGGATATTGTGATGGTTTCTCGTCATACTTGAGGCACCAGTCCTTTTTCAAGTATGGGTATTGTGATGGTTTCTCGTCATACTTGAGGCAGGAGTCCTTTTTCAAGTATGGGTATTGTGATGGTTTCTCGCCAAACTTGAGGCAGGAGTCCTTTTTCAAGTATGGGTATTGTGATGGTTTCTCGTCATACTTGAGGCAGGAGTCCTTTTTCAAGTATGGGTATTGTGATGGTTTCTCGTCATACTTGAGGCAGGAGTCCTTTTTCAAGTATGGGTATTGTGATGGTTTCTCGCCAAACTTGAGGCAGGAGTCCTTTTTCAAGTATGGGTATTGTGATGGTTTCTCGTCATACTTGAGGCAGGAGTCCTTTTTCAAGTATGGGTATTGTGATGGTTTCTCGTCATACTTGAGGCACCAGTCCTTTTTCAAGTATGGGTATTGTGATGGTTTCTCGCCAAACTTGAGGCAATAGTCCTTTTTCAAGTATGGGTATTGTGATGGTTTCTCGCCAAACTTGAGGCAGGAGTCCTTTTTCAAGTATGGGTATTGTGATGGTTTCTCGCCAAACTTGAGGCAGGAGTCCTTTTTCAAGTATGGGTATTGTGATGGTTTCTCGCCAAACTTGAGGCAGGAGTCCTTTTTCAAGTATGGGTATTGTGATGGTTTCTCGCCAAACTTGAGGCAGGAGTCCTTTTTCAAGTATGGGTATTGTGATGGTTTCTCGTCAAACTTGAGGCAGGAGTCCTTTTTCTAGTATGGGTATTGTGATGGTTTCTCGTCAAACTTGAGGCAGGAGTCCTTTTTCAAGTATGGGTATTGTGATGGTTTCTCGTCAAACTTGAGGCAGGAGTCCTTTTTCAAGTATGGGTATTGTGATGGTTTCTCGTCAAACTTGAGGCAGGAGTCCTTTTTCAAGTCTGGATATTGTGATGGTTTCTCGTCATACTTGAGGCACCAGTCCTTTTTCAAGTATGGGTATTGTGATGGTTTCTCGCCAAACTTGAGGCAGGAGTCCTTTTTCAAGTCTGGAAATTGTGATGGTTTCTCGTCAAACTTGAGGCAGGAGTCCTTTTTCTCAGCTGATGTTGAACATGTCCAGCAGCTTTTCTTTAGCAGCTGTTCATTTTATCTGGACGTGAACACTTTTTTTTTTTAAACTCAAGTCCGGAAATAGCTTTTTAAAATTCACCCACAATAATAAAAAGAAACTCCACAGGGGAGCATGTACAGCAGGAGTCTACCAATCATCAGCACAGGGGAGCATGTACAGCAGGAGTCTGCCAATCATCAGTACAAGGGAGCATGTACAGCAGGAGTCTACCAATCATCAGTACAGGGGAGCATGTACAGCAGGAGTCTACCAATCATCAGTACAGGGGAGCATGTACAGCAGGAGTCTACCAATCATCAGTACAGGGGAGCATGTACAGCAGGAGTCTACCAATCATCAGTACAGGGGAGCATGTACAGCAGGAGTCTGCCAATCATCAGCAGAAGTAATCAGAGAAAAAAAATGTCTAGGAGCTCGTGGTCCGAAACATAGAGGGCTTCATCATAGAGGGAGGAGTTTTCGTATCCCTTATTTGTATTTCTTTCTTTACTACTCTTTGGTAGATGTATTTTAAATGTGAGACTGGGTCTGACATAAATATGAGATTAGTTATAACATAAATGTGAGATATATATATATATATATATAATGTAAATGTGAGATAAGGTTTAACCAAATGTAAGATCTATAATGTAAATGCGAGATAAGGTATAACAAAACTGCTTGTGTGTGTGTGTGTGAGAGAGAGAGAGAGAGAGAGAGAGTGAGATAGAGAGAGAGAGAGAGAGTGAGAGAGAGAGAGACAGAGAGAGAGAAAGAGAGAGAGCGAGATAGAGAGAGAGATAGAGAGAGAGAGAGAGAGAGAGAGAGAGAGAGAGAGAGAGAGAGAGAGAGAGAGAGAGAGAGAGAGAGAGAAAGTCAACAAGTAAGACACAAATGGTTACAGGATGGCAGGAAAATGTAGTCGGTGGTTTCTAAAGGTGTCATTAGGTGACAGCAACATCAAACTGAACGTCTCAGCTTGTTAGGTGGCGCTAGGTGTTGCATGCGCATTTGCAACACAGAAACAAAATGGCGACTGTACTTTTAAGCAGTGTACCTTCAAAGACTGCTTTGTTGATTTTTTTTCCGGGGGTGGGGGCTGCTTGCGAAAGACATTTACAAGGAAATGCTTCCTCTTTATGCCGCCATATGTTTAACCCGTACAGCGGTGCTTAGCTAGGTAAACAATTTTGTTTCCTCTAAAATTGTTCATGAAATCTGATTTAGTCGTCTTGTTGAGATTGCAACAGACGCACCAGTGCAGTGGGTGCAGGAGATGATACAACATAATGCATGGTGGATTCACATTTTTGGCCCAGCTGAAAACCCACCTTGGCGGGAGACATTGCGCAAATGACTCAGAAGTTGAAGTGAAAATGTGAATTAGAGAGCAGCGCGCTGTTCTATGCAGCAGGTTTGGGAGAACTGATAAAACGATGGACAAGTATATCAATGTTGGCAGAAATTATGTTGAAAAATAAAGGGACAGTGTATGTGTTAAAATAAACAGTTTTCAAGTTTGTATTGTCTGATATTTTTTTTTTAAATCAACCATTTGTGACTTATTAACTTCCCCTTGCATGAATGTGAGATTGTCATTGTTCGTCCCTCATGAATGATGAAGACCACATTTCATCCAAAATATTAATGATCAATGATTATGAGTAATTGGATGAAAGGGACTTGCACAAGGACTTGGATTTTTAAGTGAGGAAGAGTTGCGCAAATCGTTGACCTCACTCGTGTCCATCTTGATCCAATGTCGTCACGATTGGAAATGGACCTTAGTGCAGTGGATGTCCAAGGCGTCTTAAGTAGTGCCCAATGGTGTTGAACTGTCCTGAGGACATTGTGAGATTAGGTAATAACATAAATGTGAGATCAGGTGTATTGTAAATGTGAGATCAAGTGTATTGTAAATGTGAGATTAGGTGTATTGTAAATGTGAGATTAGGTAATAACATCAATGTGAGATCAGGTGTATTGTAAATGTGAGATTAGGTAATAACATCAATGTGAGATCAGGTGTATTGTAAATGTGAGATTATGTATAACATAAATGTGAGATCAGGTGTATAACATAAATGTGAGATTATGTATAACATAAATGTGAGATCAGGTGTATTGTAAATGTGATATTATGTATAACATAAATGTGAGACATGATGTAGCGTTAAATTTGAGATCCGATCAACATAAAGAGACATAACTAGACCAACACACCAAACAAGAATGCCAAAATGAAAAGAAAAAAAAGATGTATTCTGCATCAGAGACTTCCAACTGGCTGTGGATATCAAACACATCAAAAAATGAAATGAACTTCTACTGTCCAGATTATGTATGAAATGTTCAGTGTATTTACAAGTGCTTCAGAAAATAAAATATAAAAACATGACATAATTATAGCTGTATACAAAATAAAACATAGAAAACAGGTGTTTGGCTGCAGGAAATACAAAAGCACTGTGGTTATATGATGCCAGTGTCAGGATTTCTGAGACCAATGTCATTCGATGGCTGATGTGGTCTCAGCTGATAATGGAGATAAACATCTGAATCTGTGCTGCTGCTGCTGTCCGTGTCTTGTGTTGTCTTCAACAAACAATATTCATTATGAGAAGGCCTACAGTTTAGTGTGAACTCAATTCTCTATTGGCCAAGCACTGTTCTCTAGTGCGATCCCAGGCCACTGCCGTATTATGTGAAATGAGAGAGCAGACTATTAGCAACAATTGTGGCCGATACAAAAGAGCCAAATACAGGATGCACTGCTGAGGAAAATATGCAGATCGTGAGAACCCATTGTAACATTTCCTAGCCAGGGGACAATCACAAAGACCAAATCAACTTAACCATATGAATGTACAATCTACAACTAGATGACGTAGCAAGTTCTGAGAGTACAAAATCTTCTAGAACCAATGAGTGAGCGGTAAACGATTTTAGTTATGTTCAGATTGAGATGCTGACTCAGAAGTTAGAAGAAGATGCCAGTTACACAGACCCTGACAGACGAAACAGTAGGAGACAAGACCCTGACAGACGAAACAGTAGGAGACAAGACCCTGACAGACGAAACAGTAGGAGACAAGACCCTGACAGACAAAACAGTAGGAGACAAGACCCTGACAGACAAAACAGTAGGAGACAAGATCCTGACAGACGAAACAGTAGGAGACAAGACCCTGACAGACAAAACAGTAGGAGACAAGACCCTGACAGACAAAACAGTAGGAGACAAGATCCTGACAGACGAAACAGTAGGAGACAAGACCCTGACAGACAAAACAGTAGGAGACAAGACTCTGACAGACGAAACAGTAGGAGACAAGACCCTGACAGACGAAACAGTAGGAGACAAGACCCTGACAGACAAAACAGTAGGAGACAAGATCCTGACAGACAAAAAAGTAGCAGACAAGACCCTGATAGATGAAACAGTAGGAGACAAGACCCTGACAGACAAAACAGTAGGAGACAAGACCCTGACAGACAAAACAGTAGGAGACAAGACCCTGACAGATGAAACAGCTGGAGACAAGACCCTGACAGGCGAAACAGTAGAAGACAAGGCACAAGAAACTGAATTATAGAAACAGGATTCATATTCAAGACACAAATATTTGAAAATGTTGCCACAGACATAGAAACCAGAGGTTAGAAACATGATTAAACAGTATAAGTAGATTTAGAGACTGATTAAAAAGTATAAGTAACTTTAGATCAATGATTAACAGTAATAAGTAGCTTAAGTGACAATGATGAAACAGTATAACTAGTTTTAGAGAAAACAGTATAATTAGCTATAGACACAATGATTAAATTTTTATGTTACTAAGAATGACATTAACGACTACATTAAAAAACCACACGAGACGATTCCACACACTACATACAACAGGGCATGAACAGACACAGCTTGTCTCAGGCAAGACAAAAGCATCATTGTCACCATCTCTGTTAACATGCACACTTTCTTCATCCATAACTTCATGCCAGCAACACATTTACGCGGGTGACACTATTTAAAGAAGAAAGAAGAAAGCCTGCCGCCTTGTCTGCAGTTATGCATTTATGACAGATCTGTCACAAGTTGTCAGATACCAACGGAGCATCCAGAAGAACACACATAAAGATTTCAATAACATCTCACAAATGCTAAAACACACTCAAGTCTGAAATGTTGAAAGTTTCAGTCAATCTATTCCAAGGCCACTGAACTTAGTTGAAGAAGGGGCAAAAGTGTTGGAAAATGGGGATCATTGTCCCAGCATATAATGATCACTAATACAATACAGCTGGCAGGTGATCCACAGGCCACTTGGTAGGCCTCTGATAGCCAAATTCTGCCCATGGGCCGCCAGTTAAAAAGCCCTGATCTATTCTTCCAAATGTGATTTTCAGTTATTAACGTTTCATTAATCTGCACTTTCATAGTTATTAACCTATTCCATCACAAATGTAGCATTAATTCCAGTTGTTACTCTATCCCTTTCAAAGCATAGCTCCAGTTCCTGCCGTTTATCCTATCAGTGACACTGTTTCAGTTATTTGTCAACTACATCCAAAACAGAAGTTTCACAAGTTCAACCTTTTCTACAGCACCATTTGCATAGTTATCGACTTATTAGATGTTTAACTAAACAAATATGATAACAATAACAGAATAAAACTACTGCCATTATCTGGAAACAATACAAAGGAATATTTGACACTAGACGAGTCTCATGAGAACTGAAATGTTAAGGGCAAACAATATCCAGTTATGTCTAAGGAGTGATGAATCTAGCTGCATTATTTCCACCATTTCTAAGTATTATCTACTATGTCTGGAGTGGGATGGGGTATGGAAAGGGAGGAGAGAGGGGGAAAAATGGGGGGGGGGGGGCAGAAAGTAATGGGAAATGAAATACAAAAAATACCAGTGTAGCAGAGACAGACAGATAGATAGAGACGGGCAGAGAAAGAGAGACTGAGGTGACAGACACGACAGAGACTAATGGTAAATAAAATACTAACAAATACCAATACAGCTGGTTATGACAGGTGGGGCAGTTAAACTTTCTACTTTAACTAAAAATATGTTCCTGGCTACAGCTAAGATCCTGTAAACAGCTATTCAAGGAAACAGACATACAATAATAACTATATACCTGGTTATGGCTGAAAATATGATTGAACAGTGGTTACAAGGAAACCTAATTTTTAAAAAAAAACATTAACATGCTTTAAAGCTGATGAAGCAGTTTAACCAGACTTCCCAAAAAATGGTCAAGCTGACACTGGAGCTGCAGTAAAAGACATGCTAGTGTTGCCCCAATGAAAACCAGAGACTTGATGCCGGTCGTTGAGTGCTGGGCATTCACAACAGTCTCGGCCATGGCATGCCGGCTGCAGTGGCCAGTTCTCTGTCTGCTAATTATCTGGTAGCCATCTTGACCAGGCAGGATCAACCCCAGAGCCGTACTGGTCAGGAAAAAACAAATGATTCTTCCTCTGCTGGGGACTGAACCTGATTCCCCTGTCGTGGCAGGCAAGTGTACTAGTCACTGTGCTACTGCAACCAGACATTACCCTGCTCCGTTCTGTGCGCCTGGAAATCACACAAAATGTCGTATATCCTATTTTAAAATTAGTGAAAAACTTGAGTCTCAGCAAAATCTTTAAACCTGCACGTGCAAAGTAAAAATGCAGCTGTCAGATGTGCCAACACTAACAGTTCCCACACCAGAACTGCAACTCATTGTTGGCACAGGTGATCATTTACAAAATCCAGCACTATAGGTGTGGCTTCAGAACCAAGGGTGTGAGAATGAGATGTATGCTTGTTATGTGTAGGGACACTAGAGAACCAAGGGTGTGGATAGCAAGTCGCGGTGGACAACTGCTTCAGTCAGTGGCTGTGTATGTCACGATTAACATTAACGAACTGTAGTATGATGGCAATATAAAATTATATCTCGGTAATTACAACTTTAAAGTTTATTTCAAGGCAAGACAATCAACTCAACAGTATGGGGTATTATATCTTATGACTTACATTAAGAGGTTCACATGAAGATCTACAGCTCCAGCCACAACCATCAGGTATGTATAAAGAACTTGCACTCGCAAAATGAAGTAGTGAACCGACACCCTTTAAATTATATGACAACAGTTTAATCATTTCGCCAAGGGATAAATTATCTGTACACAAACTGAGAATAAATAGATATGGCAATCACAAGAGACCATTACTATTCTTAATAGCACAAATTACAAGAATATAGAACTCAAGTTCACCATAACAGTACCCCCTGAAAATAGCACCAAGAAAGTCAATAAGTAGTTACATTGTGAAAGTGTCAAAAAGAACAGAAAACAGAACAAACCTGGATAAGACAAGAGCAATTTAACTCACAGCATTATACAAAATACTGGTACTTTTGTTAACGAATATCAAAAGCAACAGATGAAATGTGAAGCTGCCAATTTAGTATTTTTCACTTGAAACTGAGGTGGAGTCATACAACATTTTGTTTGAAGCAGATACAGCAAATGTAAATTATATTTGACATACACAGTGTACAGACATTTTTCAGTGATACTGGATGTTGTGCTGGGTTTATACCAGTTGTGTGTGGGATACAATTATTTTATTTCTTGTCATAATGTTCTTGTTGATATTACCATTTAAACCCGATTTCAGTAACTAGTGAAAATTGGTAATATCATAACAGATGTTTCCACTCTGTTGTCCGTTGAATTGAGGGATGAAAGAGTATACGAACTCATTAGCCAGAATAAACAACTGACCTTCTGAACTTGTTGAAAACAGAATCTACCCCACAAATTCTGAGAACAAAGATGATGGCATTTTGACAAAATGCAGATGAAATCAATCCTATCTCAGGTTGACCACAAAGTAAACAACTTAAATTTGTCATGGCAGTTAGCGAGTCAACCAAACATAAACCAATCAGTCACGGCAGTTAGCGAGTCAACCAAACAGAAACCAATCAGTCACGGCAGTTGGCGAGTCAACCAAACAGAAACCAATCAGTCATGGCAGTTAGCGAGTCAACCAAACAGAAACCAATCAGTCATGGCAGTTAGCGAGTCAACCAAACATAAACCAATCAGTCACGGCAATTAGCGAGTCAACCAAACATAAACCAATTAGTCACTGCGATTAGTGAGTCACCCAAACATAAACCAATCAGTCAGAGTTGTTACTGAGTCAACCAAACATAAACCAATTTGTCACAGCAGTTACT